TGGTGGTTAGTTTAGACCATCGTCAGAATGTGAATCGTCGGCCATATAGATTAAGGTGTCAAGTATTGTCCTAGTTAGCCATTGTGAGTGCGTGCACAGTGTCTGTACGTGGACCATTGGCTACCTCAAAAGATTGCAAGTATTTTTTTCTATACCCGGAATGTGTTATTACGGGCGGGGGGTAATAGAAGTCGTGTCGGTGGAGAGAGACATAGGATGGTATGGTGTGGCGGTCATCCAGGCTTTGTATGTATGTCCATTCGGAAATAGGGTATACCAGGCCCGGTATTATAGAGGCACATGGTCCAGTGGGATTGTCCACTGTGTGTAACGTAAGATGATAGTGGAATTTACAGTGTGTGTGAACCACGAAGGTCACGAGAGTAAAGGGTGGTGTTGTAGCTTGTCAATTCCTACGTGCTTGTCGTAATACGATTCGTAACGAAGTGTACTCCGTCGGCTCCGAACGCTGGAAAACCCAGTTACGTCGGCCAGGAAACTGGCAATCAGCTGCTCTAAATTCGCCCGTGTTTACAGTACTACATGCGCCAAATTACACCTTTATCTATGGCACTTGTAGATTTGATTTGTATTTTTGAAAATTATGTAACTTTTAATCTTTTTTAGCATATTGTTTATTATATTATAACTTAGTACTTTGTTAACGCATGTAAGATATGCAACACTAAGCTGTCTGTGGCTCTTTCCTGCTGTAACGCTGCAAATTTCCCCTCTGTGGGACTAATAAAGGTATTCTGATTCGGATTCTGATTCCATGGTAGTACTTGAGGTTTGATTTAGCATTATTATGACAATGTGGTTTATTGATGTACTGCCAATGTGACATGCAAACTTCTCAACCAGGATCAATATAATGGAATGATGTAGTAAATACTGTTATATAGTAACTTTTCATCACAGAATCAACAAACTTGTTAAATTAAACAAAAACATTAGTTGCCAGTTCTGCTTGGAAATCTTTTATCCTCTACTTGCAACGTTATATAGGTACATATTTAGCCTCTATTTTTCAGAAATGTACAGTTTATACCATTTCAATGACCTACAGAGGGCACAGAGCAGGTCACTACTCACTGATTGATTTCCTGTTTATTAAACATCTCCCTCCCTTCCTCCACTGTTCTGTCATAACAGTGGAACAAAGACCACGGTTGCATGTCCCCAGGCTGTCTGAGACATCATGATCGGAAATCTGCAGATGTCTTTCATATTAAGCCAAAAAATACTGGCGCTCTCTGTGTGTGTGTGTGTGTGTGTGTGTGTGTGTGTGTGTGTGTGTGTGTGTGTGTGTGTGTGTGTGTGTGTGTGTGTGTGTGTGTGTGTGTGTGTGTGTGTTTATGCTGACCTGGACAAAATTCTATCTGAAGTCCCCAAGGAGGACAAGTTAATCCTGCTTGGAGATTTCAATGCTGGACACAATGACAATATCATCACAGGAGGACAAGTAAATCCTGCTTGAGAAATCTTAGACCAGAGTAGTAACGACCCACACAATGGAAAAAAGCACAGACATGGGAGAGAAAAAGGTTAACACAAATCCAAAAATAGGCAATTGCTACCAGCTCAGCCACACTAGGTCATTGCAAACCCACACTTTTCCGTCAACACGTTTCAATACACATGAGATAACATTAGGACTCCAACAGACAACATTCATTATGGGATTTAACCACACACCAAAAAAACACATCCAAAGACAAAAAAACAGATGGATGCTTTAACACCAGAAATAATGACCAGTGCCAGACGATGCTGGACGACCAAGCCTCATTCCGCTGCCAATCGCATGGTCATCCGCTTAATGTGGAAACAGAAGGATGCAGAAAAGACAGAGCCGGCCAAAGCTTAACATCGACCTGTTGGGCTGACACCAACTACCAACTACAGCTGCACGATGCTGCTTTTGCGCAGCCTTGCCCAAACAGTATCCGGAGGATACGAAAAACACTGGAGCATCAGGTTCTAACTGGCCCATGCATGCACTCCTGCAAAACATTCCTTGGCCAAACAAAAAAGCGGAGATCAAGACTGGTATGATTGAGAAATGACATCAGAGATTCAGCAAATCAGTTGACATCAAGTGGCAAACTTTTCATCACCTGGCAAAAGAACATCCACTGCAAGGTGAAAGAGCAGCCACATGCCAAGCGAAGGCAGCCGTAAACGCAAGTTAGGAAACTGAAGAACCAGTGTCGACAAAGAAGGCTCTGGAGATCCGGCAGTTTGCCGACTCTGGGTATACAAAGGATTCTTTGATCCACAAGAGCGTATATGGCCCAGTATCGCTCGCCTAACCCCCCTTCGCTCTAAAGAAGGGGCTTTGCTTCTGAAGGACAAGGATGCAATAGCAAACAGGTGGAAAAGAGCACTATAAGGACCTCTTAAACAAGGGGACAGTACCATATCCTGAGATGGAGCTCTTGACCAACTCCCTCAGACAGCCCATAAGCTGAAAGCATGGAGAACCACCCAGCCTGGGTGAGGGTGCTGGATGCCATTTAAGAATATGAAAAACAACAAGGCTGCCCGCCCCCCCGCTGGCGGACGGCATCCAGCAGAAGTCCTAAAGAAAGGCGGGACCCGATCTTCTTAAGCACATCCATGCCCTGCTCTCAAATCTGGGGAAGAAGAGGAAATCCCCTGCTCAGTTTAGGGATGCCTTAATTGTCTGCCATATTTAAGAAAAAGAGACAGGGCGACTGTGGAAATTACCTGTGGCATTTCTCTCCTTGTCACCATACGGGAACAAGTCCTAGCTCGGGTGTTCTGGCCAACAGACTCACCCCCCTGTCAGAAAGCATCTTCCTAGTCTCAGAGTGGATCTCGCCAAAACAGAGCACTACAGGACATGATTTTTCACCCCTAGCTCGCCAACTGCAAGAAAAATGCAGGGAACATAATCACCATTTATACCATGGCTTCATAGTACCTCACCAAAGCCTTCGACTCAGTGAGCCGTCAGGCCCTCTGGCTGGTAGTGGCAAAGATTGGGCTGCCCAAAAAATACGTCCGGGTACTGTTCCGATTAACCCAGCTTCCCCAAAATGTTTTCTTTTTGGTGTGCTATATACCGGGAATCCGGAGTCATGGATGATCCTGCGGTCCCTGTGTCATGGATCGCGAGTCCTGGATCTTGAGTCGTGGCTGTGGTCCTGGATCATAAGTCCTGGATGCGATAACCTCCGTGGATTCATCTTCCTATTTACACACATGCATTTCCAAACATTTGGACTACCTATGTTGTAAAAAGTATTATCTTTTCATTTACACAACGGCATCTATTGCACGTCCTGTCCGTCCTGGGAGAGGGATCCCTCCTCTGATGCTTCCCTGAGGTTTCTCTAATTTTTCCCTTTAAACTGTGGGGTTCTCACGGAAGTTTTCCTTGTACGATGTAGGGTCTAAGGACCGAGGGTGTCGTATTGTTCATAACTGATATTCTGTACCAAACTGTGAAGTCCACTGAGACAAATGTACATTTGTGAATATTGGGCATATATATATAACATTGATTGATTGATTGATTGATTGATTTGATTGATTGATTGAGGCTGGCTTGCATGACAATATGTCAGCCACGGTACTCAGTGCAGTGAGACGAAACTGAAACCCTTCCGGGTCGACACAGGAGGTCAAAACAGGAGTGTGTCATCGCTCCAAACTATTCTCCATCCTTTGTTGCTGCTATCCTACATCTCACCAAGCAAGCATCTGCCCCAGGGAGACAACATCATGTACGGAACTCACGGCCAATCTCTCAACATCCACCGTTTCAGGGCTAAAGGTCAAACCACCAACCATATCGATCATGGAGCTGCAGTAATGCGACAACAACGCCCTTGTGCCCTCTCGGAAGAGGGACCTACAGGGTATCCTATCAGCTTGGTCTAGCCATCAACGATAAAAAAGACCCAAATCCTCCACCCAACAACCACGAAACAGCAGTACGCCTGTCTACCCCCGAAAACATCTTCCATTGGACAACATCAGACTGGAAAATGTGGATACTTACCATACCTGGCAGCCTCCTATCATCAAACAGCTGTTATTGATGGTGAAATACACCATGCCTCAGCTGTGCCGTGGGGCTTTCTCAAGGCTAAAGGAAGAGAGTCTTTGAGAACCGTGACCTCCAAGCAAAGACCAACAGCTTGGTCGATAAAAGCTGTTGTGCTCCCCACTCTTCCTGTATGGATCAGAAGCCTGGACCCATCATACAGCAGGCACTTAAAGCAACTTGAGGCATACCATCAGAGATCCTCCGAAAAACTCTCAGGATAGCCTGGGAGGATCGGCGGCACTATACACCAGCGTCCTGGAGGAAGGCGACATTCCCTCCATCACTGCACCATTGCCCAAAACCAGTCAGATGGACTGCCCATGTTATCCGCATGCCTGACTCTCGCCTCCCAAAAGAAGTCCCTTATCCCACCTTGTTAAAAGGGAAACGGGCCCTGGAGGCCAAAAGAAGAGGTACAAAAGATAAAGGTACAAAGATAACATAAAAATACACCTAAAGAAGTGCCACATAGACCTAAAAGCTTGGGAAGACATGGCAACAGACAGGGTGACCTGGAGAAACCTTGTCCGTGAGGGTGCTGCACTATATAATGATGACCAAGAAAAGCGCATACTCAGGAAGGAGAGATCAACCACCAAACAGGTCCAACCCAAACCCTCCACCACTACATTCCCCTGTCCACACTGCACAAGAATAATCGGGTCCATAATCGGCCTCTATGCCCACCTGAAGACCCACAAGGACCAAGAAGGAGGACAGTCATACTCGACTACGAGTGACCGCTGAT